TACCATAGGAATACTTCTCTGTAATAAGATAAAAATATATACTGTGGGCAAATTAAGTAAGAGTGGGAAGTTCTCATTATAAATGTAATCCTGATGACTAAATCTAGAGTAGTGACACATATACTGCAATTGCATCTTGAATAGAGCAAGTTTTGTACATCTGCCTAAATCTGGATATGAAATCATAGAATCATAAAATCACCTAGGTTGGAAAAGGCCTTCAAGATCATTAAGTCCAACATTTACCCCAGGACTGCCACATTAGACCACCACTAAACCATGTCACTGGGGGCCTCATCTACACAGTTTCTGAACACTTCCAGGGACAGTGACTCCGCCACTGCCCTGGGCAGCCTGTTCCAATGCTTGAGCACCCTGCCTGTGAAGGAATTCCTCCTAATACCCAATCTAAGCCTCCCTTCGCGCAGCTTGACGTCATTGCCTCTTGTCCTATCACTTGCTGGGAGAAGAGACCAACCCCCACCTCACTACAACTTCCTTTCAGGTAGTTGTAGAGAGCAATTAAGGTCCCCCCTGAGCCTGGCCACTGCCCATCAATCCAGCCTATCCAGATCCCTCTTCAGAGCCTTCCTGTCCATCAGCAGATCAGCACTCCCACGCAACTTGGTGTTGTCCTCAAATCTACTGAGGGTGCACTTGATTCCCTCACCCAGATCATCAATAAAGACATTAAACAACACAGGTCCTGACACCAAGCCCGGAGGGACACCACTAGTGACTGATTGCCAATTAGATGTGACACCATTTACCACCACTCTTTGGGCTCTGCAATCCAGCCAGTTCCCAATCCAGTGAAGAATCCACCTACCCAGACCATGAGCAGCCAGTTTCTCCACTGCTGCAGGAGACAGTGTCAAATGCTTTACTTAAGTCCAAATAGACAAAGTCTACAGCCTTTCCCTCATCAACCAGGTGGGTCACCTTATCATAGAAGGAGATCAGGTTGGTCAAGCAGGATCTGCCTTTCATGAACCCGTGCTGACTGGGCCTGATCCCACTGACTTCCTGCATGTGCTGTGTAAACACACTTAGGATATCTGCTCCATGACATTCCTTACCACTGAGCTCAGTCTGACTGGCCTGTAGTTTCTGGGGTCTTCCTTCCTGCCTTTTTGTAGAGAGGCATCACACTGGCCAACTTCCAATCCTCTGGGACATGCCTCCAGACCAGGATTGCTGAAACAATCTAAGGTCTTTAGCACTTTAAAATGCTCATTCTGTATTACAAGTTTTCTTTTGTTAAAAACTGAAATATTCTTTATTTTGAAGCCTCTGTTTTTGTAGGCATTAGATCCCCTCAATCCCATATACCCACTCCCAAGCTTGTGGCAATTACCCCAGTATTGCATGAATTAACCTCTGTAGCACATGCGTTTTTGCCATTTTTTTGTTAGCTCATGTTCTCATGTTTACTTTATCCCCTGCTATGCTCTCGCAGAATCCAAGACACAGTAAAGAATTAAAGAAATTGTGACATCTCCTGTCTATTTTAAATCTGATACATATCAAGAAAGACTATATGGTTCCTTCCTAATTCAAATTATTCTGATTTAGAAATGCAGATATTAGAACTGCAATAACTGAAAGGTATCTAATGCTTGCTTATTATTTTTTAGCTCAATCCCTGAGTCACAGCTAGTTTCATTTTTTGAAAATGAAATGTTTATAATTCACTGGTGGTATTAAAAAAATTATTATCAACTTGAAATAAAACATCATTCATACCACTGTGTGGAAAATATGACTTGTAGTGAGAGGAACCCCTCTTCTGGTTGAAGCACAGAACACCACGCATGGAAGTACTGTGCAGTGCAAACACGGAGTTCTCCCAGGCTGGTTTCAGTCACGGCACCTTTAGAGGAATTCATCTCCCTTAAAAGAAAACATCTAACATATATCATGTCAGGTTGTTCTCACTGACTATAGAGGAAATAGATATCTACCTCTTAGATGTCTATAGCAAGTAAGAAAAGTGCTATCGAGTCTGTTGTTATATAAAAAGCTCCCATCTCCTATCCTTTAATTTGTCTGCAGGAGGACACTCAGCATGCCATAGCATACATGGCTGATGATACTGAAGATCAAGCATGCCGTTGATAATCATTAGCTTCTTTCAACACAGTTTCCAGAAGGGATTCTTGTGGCTATATTGAATTTAACAGACCGTATTCTGATCGTCAATATCTACATACTTACACTGAAAAATCACTGCAAATTTTAAGGACACCATGGTTGTCATTGCTCCTAAGAATTTGAACATTTAATTCTGGTACTGCTTTACTTCTCAATTCCATAGTTTCTTGCTTGTTTGCTAAAGCATTTTCTCCTTTATGTCTCAGGGTGAATTCTTAAAATAGGAAATGGGAGAATTTTGCTCTTGCTACTTTAGTCACTCGGCTTTACCAAACCCCTTTTTACTTTTCCCTTGTGACTTCCCCCCTATCTTCTGCAGAAGTTCACTTTTGCTACACTTTTGCTTTCTGTGATCCTCGCTTTCCCCAGTTAGAGTTTTCACAAAGACATTTCTGTTGTTACACTGTTTGTTACAGTGTTTATCATTTCTCCCAGAGATTGCTAGCTGAGCCATCTGGATGATGTGATAGAGCTCTACCTGCCTGGTGTACTGTTCTAGATACTCCATGACACGAACAGCATGACCAGGAGGATTTCTCACCAGGAAGGATCTGCGCAAGCTACATTTCAAACATTCCCCAGAAGAATGCAAAAAGCTTAGTGGCATCTGTAAGGGTTTTCGATCATTATGTAAAGAGAAGGGGAAATGTTAGTAATGCATCTTCCTTCTTGACATATTGCTGGAATGCAACATGTTTTACTAGGATTTTATATGCCTCAAGAAAGGCGTCATATTTCTGTGCTTATGCCTTGAAATTTGTTGCTATGAAAACATCAAAACCAGTCTATGACTAAGAACGGGCAGTGTTCAGGCAAAATAGTATCCAGCCTCAATGTCAATTCAACAATCAAAATGAATTGTAGTCATTTTCATGCTTTATAGGGCTTAATATCTTTCCTGTATCATTAAAGTCTTTTAGCCACTTATATCCAATGCACACAGGCCTCAGCTCACCCAGTTCAATGCATAATTTGAGCACAGCTATTCCAGCAGTATCTCTGAGAAATCAGATTAAACTACATTACATTGAATTATCTTTATTACTATTTGCCTTTTCTTGCTTCCTTTAAATTTCTTGGCACAGAAACATTTTTTAGATTAATCACAGCACTGGCTGCACCACCTTCCTTCTAAACAGTAAAATTTCAGATGATTTATTACTTCTGACAGAGTGCACTCTGAGAATTAACTGAATGGAAGCCTTCAGATCAGGAGGAATTTAAAAAGAGCAGCAGCATCTTCCAGCAGAATGTGTCTTGGGTCCTTCTGTCTGAGAAGCTTCTCTGGATGGAGAAAAGAAGCTGACCTCAGGCAAACAACTGTGGGGAAGCATGTAAGGTAGGCTCACTGTGTGTTCACATGCATGCATATCTTCTCTTCTGCATATCACATTTTCTTTTACTTCGGGGATTTTACTGTGTTATAGGCTTTCCAAAGTTACTCCCTTGGAACTGAAGAAAGAGATGTTTTTTCCAGTATCTCTATCTCCAGTTAAGATAATGTACTTCTGGTTTACTGTGTTGTATGAGGCAAATACCATGATTAGAAGAAATAGGCATAACATCTATCAATAACTGAAATGTCTCATGGAAAGTAATTTGAAACCAACATTCAAAATTACCTCTTAAAGGAATACGTTAACAAAGGATTATGATAATAATTGATCTAAGCATTTAACTGTCTCACCTTCCTATTTATTTAATTACCATGAATTTAAGTATGATTGCAGAACATTCTTAACTAAGGATGCTTTTCTGTTTATAGAACAGATTGAAAGATTTAACCCTCTGTTCCCTGATGAGCCCTACACAAAAATGCTCAGATTACATGATGGGTCTGTAGGACAATAAAATTGTACAGAACTGCCAAGATGAGGTCTTCTAGAAGAAAATACAGATATTGCGTGAAGCTAGATGAAAAAAAACCCCAACAAACCAACAACAAAAACCTGACAATGTTAACATTCCAGAGTCTAAAGACAAAAAATATTGAACATGACAAAGCCATTTTTCTCCTCAAAAGAGCTGAAGTACTATTTCTTCCTTGAGTTACAAATCTATTATACAGTCAGAAAGAGGAGCTATTTTGAAATTCTGGAAACATTAAGTTTTTGGTTTAAATGATAAGTTGCCTCTTGAGAAAATATCTATATACTTTCATCAAAAGACAAAGCAAATGCTCTTTCACTCTGCCAGCACACCATAGAGAACATAACTACCTGGAAGACTACACAGTGTATTAACAAATGGATTAAAATGATGTGAAAAATACAAGGTCAAAAAAAGTGTATTCTCATGAAGATTTCCAAGATCTTCCTAATAATAACCAAAAGTACCACAGGGTAAAATTTTCAGAAGTGTTAACATAACTGACAAAGCCAGTCCTGTTTTCAAGTTGTTTCTTTATAAATAATAGCATCTTTTACAAAGGAATTATTAGTTTCTTACACACCTACAAATGTTACAGAGATGTCCCAAATGAAAGATCAATGCATTCTTCATACCAGTTCTTTATACTACATTTCATTGCAAAAACTTACTAATGAAGGTAAACATGACAAACTCACACACTAGTATATAAGGAAAAAGAATTTGGAAAGAATCTAAATTAAAACAAGCATGATAAGACATACAAGCATAATAAGAAATCAGAAAGTTAACATGATGCAATGCCAAAAGACACCCTATGACTCAAATCCTCTTTCATAAAACAGATACAAGAGTATGAAATAATACAAAGTTAGTATCATAAAATGCAGTTTGCAGTGAGATTTTTTATAAATAAATATTAAGTTTAGAAACCCATGATGGTTTCACAGAGGAATTTTAGTCATACTAACTCTTACCTGTCAGGGTTGCTTTGTTAATAGATGGTTGGTTACACATTGGTGATCGTCTGTTTAAAAGAAAAAAAGGTATATGCCTGGTAAACACAGAGATGACTGAATCCTTGAACAATATAATAGAAAATATATTTCCTTGGGAATTTTTTTGGGACTGGAATACCCTGGCATCGAAAAAAAAAAGTTCTGACCAATATTTTAGGAATCTACAAGTTCATTAAAAACCTACTTAATCATACCTAGAGCTTATACGTAGCTTTAAGTTTGATTTATATAGTTATCGTCATTGTAACATGGCTTGCACTTGCCACATTCTCTTACTTGAAATGTCTTTCTTATTATTATTTTTCATTCTATTATTTTGCATATACATTTCACACATTATTTTGCCTATATCTTTTACAACAGTCTTTAGGGCAAACAGCTCAGTGGTGTGTTTTGTCCACTGAAGAAAGCTAAAAGTTGCTGGACTGACACAGCTGTGTAGGGGTGTGTGGGTGACTGCAAGCAGGGTCTACATAGGGTATGCATACTCCAGCCAAGGGGCTGGAAATATCTTTTAGGGGTACTGCATATGCAGTGCTAGGCAGCTGGTTTTGGAATGCTAAATACTTCTAAGTTCCAGAGGTGCACATTTTGGGTGAGGGAAATGACTCCACTACAAAATTTGACAGTGTAACTAAGGTTAATGTTAACTGCGATTCTGTAACACAAGTGGAGAAAGATTGTATTTATAGCATCTCATTTATAAACATGAACCGCTGTGGATAGTGGAATGTCATTATCTTGCATAAGTTAGGCAGAGCTCTAGGTTCAGATCATGCAAGTAGCTCACAATGAGTGGAGCTGTCTGCTCACTCTGGTTTATTTGCAAGACTCAGATTCTGCCTGAATGATCATGTTTGTATGATCTTTGACATATGACTAATTTATTGAAAATCATACAAATGCACAAAACCAATCCCAAGTTTATGCAAGGGTGGCAATGCAGGAGCAATTAGTAGGCAAGGGGGCTATTGTCTCAGCTATCAAGGGATTAATAAACTTATTACTCATCCACATGGTTCATGCAGGTTTGGTAGCACAGACTGAAATCTGTAACATCTAATTGTTATTCTTAGTTTACATTTAAACAGTATCACTGCAAAAAGTTCAGTGGCCAAGAATAGACGCTCACTTGCTGGGTGCCCGATCTTGTAGATTGGTTAACGCGGCAAAGTTATTCCGTACAGTACGGAGGCTGGCCAGCACCTGGAACAAACAAAACAGTTTCAGTCTAAATTTGTGCACAGGTGAGACTGACATATCTCTGCTCGACTATGCTGAAAATAAAAGGAAAGAACATTGCAAAACAACTGTAAAAGGTTTCCAGGATTGGTTTGTCCAAAGTCTTTGACCATTACTTAGCAATAACATGTCTGTAATACAAGGGCAATAATTTATTTCTTTTTTTCCCTCATGAACAACTCATTATTTTGCTTAAAGGCAGACTTACTTGAAGAGAAGGAAGTTTTTTTTTTTTTTTTTCACAAAATACTACTTAGTTCTGTAAAATTACCATAAATGCATTCATGTTGGGAAAATAATAGCCCATTCAAGACTACTACTTCATGCATAAGAAATTACTACAAAATCTTCCATTTGCAGTTCAGCCCACAGAGACCTCAAAGGACAAAGGAATGAGATTGTCTAGACTGCCAGGAAAAGTAAAAACTGCTCCCTTAAAGGGTACAGTTGATTTGGGTACTTAGTGCAGAGGACTAGAGTTAAAAAGAAGGTAGCACCTGAGCAGGTGGGAAGGTCTGCAGGCTTTTACAAGCTTTGCACATTGGGAAAGGTAATATAAATGAACTACTTCCTTTCTGGACTTAATTTTATCCAAGACAGCAGCTAGTAGAGGTAGTAGAGGGCTGTCTTCTCATTATAAGTGGCATAGGCACTCTCTTCTGAAGGTAGCTGGATAACCGCAACACATTTTGTTCCATGTAAGGACTGTAAGATGCACCTCTCCAACTAGGGAGAAGTAGTCCAGCTTATGTCAGAGAGGAACCACAAGTTGTCTGGAACCAGACTGGGAATGGGAGGAAGCAGCAACACTCATTAGAATGATGTGCCTTTGTGGGAATTGCTTGTTGTTTCTCAGCCCAAACTGGGCTGGTTCCCTGGTGAACCTGTTGTAGGAATAGCAAAGGTGGAAATGGAAATTTGGGTTCCAGAGCTAGGAGTTGAGGAGGATACAACCATCTTTCCACAGCTGCTTAAGTTTATACATGAGGTAGGAAGGCAGTAGTGGGCTGAAAAGAAAAGAAGGATTTAGTGAAAGCTTATAACAGACAGAAAATATTCAGGAGATAATAGTGACTGGCAGTGTTTAAGCTACTGTTGGTAGTTCCCAAATGACTTAAGGTAATAAAAATACATTTGTTGCATAATTAGACCATTAATTTCATTATGTTTTCCTTTCCAAAGATCAGGAGGTAAACTCACATATTTGTCATTCAACATAAAATAAAAATAATTATATATGCCATCAAATGTGTATGTCCAGGGTACAGTGACACTAATAAATGTTGTATTTAGATGTTGGATATACACAGATGGAAATCAGGCATGAACTGATCAGAAGAGGAAAGAACATCCTGGAGTTCAAAAGTTCAACAATGAATGCATTAAATACAAAGAAAAACTGCTGAAGTATGGAAAGTATGAAGTAAAAGAAAATGATGAGTTAAAGGTGGAAGGAAAGCATAAATGAAATAAAGATGGAAAGATGGGCCTATTAAGGTAAGACACACATTTTTTAGTGACTGCAGTCCATTTTTGGTTGTCTTTGGTCAATCTGCCTGGATTCAGTTTTTGTTTACCAGAGTGATGAGATGGCTTGCATGTACTAATACTGTGAGAGAAACATATTTGTGTGGCTCCCAGAACAGTCTCAGGCCATGAAAAAATGCAGTAGTTTCCCTGGCTGCAAGCTCCTACTCAGTAAGCCCTGCTGGGCTCAAATTGGCTGTATATGCAGGTGCACTGAGAACTGGGAGCGTGTATGAAGGTAACTAACTGACTCCTTGGTGAGTGATCTCAGGCATAGCCATGCCTATTAGCTCTGCTTCTGCTGGACTCTGCAATGAACTCTGTACATGCTGCACAGGGCTGTGTCAGAAAGATTATCCAGCTAGCCACAATACCACATGAGAACATGAACCCTGAGGTATGTGTTGGATCTGAAATCACGGGACATTTAGTATCTGGGGTGCTAGGGCAAGCAGGGTGCAGACCTGTAAGATTGTTCAGGGCCAGTTATGAGTGCAGGTTAATGAGCCTTGCTGGACCCGTGCTCAGGTCCCTGAAGAGCTGAGGGAGTGTCTCTCTACCCTGCCCACTACTGTGCACATTGACCAGATTTTTCCACTGTCTGAGATGTTATGAATCTCTCCTTTTTCAGAAAGTAGAGATTTGACTGTTTGGTTTGTGTGTCCTTCCACTTGTTCTTCTCACAGCTGAGATAACTGTATGTTCAAGGGTGAAACATCTAGTATCTGCCCAGTTTTCCAGCTGCTTTAGCATACAGGCCATATTTTGGCAGTTCTGTAAGTGTGAGGTGTCCCCACATGACTTTAAACTTAAACAGGGGAAGTTTAGGTTAGATCTAAGGAAGAAGTTCTTCACAGTGAGGGTGGTGAGGCACTGGAATGGGTTGCCCAAGGAAGTTGTGAATGCTCCAACCCTGGAGGTGTTCAAGGCCAGGCTGGACAGAGCCTTGGGTGATATAGTTTAGTGTGTGGTGTCCCTGCTCATGGCAGGAGGGTTGGAACTAGATGATCTTAAGGTCCTTTCCAACCCTAACTATTCCATGATTCTATGATTCTATGCATACCAATCTGGCAACAAAAACTTTGGCCATTGGCTACAGTGGAGCTAAACCACTTGATTTATTGTATAAACATATTAAAATTTATAAAGCTATTATACTATAAGTACATAAAATAATATTTCAATTTTACATTATAATTTGCTTTAAGTGACAGTTTCTTTGTTCACAGAGGTTCTACTTGTGCTTGATGTTTCTCAAGTTACAATTCAGGAGCAAAAAGCAACCACTCACTTGCAAACTACTATAGGTTTAATTTCTAAGTAATATTATTTTGAAAATCATTATATACAAATATTTGCAAGTGAAGTAAAAAATCAAACCTTTTTGATGATAAAAAACCTAGAGAATTCATCCTTAAATTTTAAATAACCCACATGATTTTATTTTGAAAAGCTAAATTCTATGAATAACTAAATTACAGCAGTTACTGTATATTACAATATAGGGAAGTGCAACTAATAATGTGTTTGTGATAGAGTTTTTAATTTCAGCTTATAAAATTCCATTCTGGTAAAAATAGTAAATTAACTTGTCCTCAGGCTGGATTCTATGTGGGGACACATCATGCCACCCTGCCTCCAGCTTTCAAATGCAGCCGCACTGACTAGAGACAGAAAAGCTAAAATTGGAACTATTACCACCAGGTGGCTCATGATCAGATGAAACAATTCTCTTGATCAACTGAATACAGATGATCTGAAATAACTGGAACATGTGTTCCGCATATCATGATCTACTGCCACCAGGAAGCCCTGAACAGATTAAAATGGTGCTTTTGCTGCTTACAACATAAAAATGCATCTACATGATGAAGTATTGCTCTAGAAAGGTATTGAAAGTGTAGTTCATATGATGCTTAGACACTGGCACATGGGATCCAATTTCTGAAGTTCTGACTGAGGTCCTAACACTGGTAAACCTAACTCTAAGGAATGGGTCCTGTACTTAGTTGCAGATGTAGTCCATGAGCAGGCCCCACTGGGAGATGGATTTTGCATATTCAGGTCAGTTTTAGGGAAGGGCTACATTTTTTCTGAAAGTCTAATCAGATGTCACTTCCCCTCTATTAGGCATAGTCTCTCAACTGCGTCTCAATTCCTTCTGTCAAGGAATGTGACGTGGGATAACTCACCCTGTGAGTGCTCTTTCTCCTCTTCAATGCAAATGAAAGCAAGTTGATTTAAAACACTGCTAGCAGGGTTTGCACTGAAATACTAAAAGTTCTCAAATAATCAATTATGGCATCTTGGTGCAAATAGCAGCAACATTTACGTGCTCCTGGTATAATTGCTGAAGCACATCCATCAGCACCAACAAGAATACAAAACTGCCCTTAAAACAAATAGGGTGTTTTGTCCCAGGAGAAAAAATAAATGGAGTGTAATATTTGCTGTTTTTCTGGGTATCCTATAACCTACCTTATCTATGTGGCATAATTCGTAATAAAAATTCAGATGAAAATGCATATGAACCCAATTATTGTAGATATTATTGGATTGCTTGACCACTATAGTATTTGTGGGTATTTTTGTGCTCAAGCGTTAGGGGTTTTATGTTTTCTGAGGAATTAATACCAGAAATGGTTTTCTTTTTCTTTTTTTCTTGCTTTTCCTGTAATTTATTTGTTTCCACTACTGTTAAAGTAAAGGTTACCATTTGAGAGACCTTAAAGTATTCTTAGAAAAGGTCCTGGCTTAATATTTACTCTGCTAATATATAATGAAGGTATTCTTCATATTAAGGATTTGATCATAGAGTTTTATAAAGTGTATGTGTTTAAAATATAATTAAATATATAATAAGCTATTAAATTAATGTTAATAATTTTAGCAACTTATCACTAGACCAAAGCAACCTGCATATTCAGACTGAAGTTGGATACCTTATTAGCAGTTAAGACTGCTGTGTGACTCAACCTTTCTCTTTCCATGTACGTTCAATCACATACCATTTCCAGATTTATTTTTACCCTTGTAGTTACAATATATGAACTTTCATTCCTATTACAGGTTAAAACTTACCATTATGAGTTCAGGAATGTTAACTTTTCATACATCGTAAGACAGCTTTATTATTAAAAATTGTGGAGTTTTGATCTAAATTATGTAGAATTTTGAGCTGGTATGCTATAAAACAGAATCTGAATGGAAATTCAAACTGATGGTTTTGTAAAACATAAGTATTCTGGGTAGAACTTATCTTGCATCTAAAAATTTATGTGGCATTGAATGTGTAAAAGATGTTCAAAAAAGAGAACTTGTAATTATAAAAACTAGGGGAATAACAGAGAACACAGATTTGTCTTCATCATGGCTGCCTGCAATGGCATTTGAAAAGGTATCAGGGGTGTTTATTGTGTTGTTGCACTTCAACATTTCAGATAATCAGAAAGCATTAAGCAAGAGATAACAAGAGTGGGAGGTTTATGACTTTCTGCTTAGACAGTTTTTTCCCATTGCAAGCAAAGAGATGTTATGTAATATTAACAACGGAGAACAATGTATTTGGCCTTTAAATTGCAAGATTGTGTGAGAAATACAGCAAAATTGTGCCTACCTGAGCAAATGGTGTCACAATCAAGTCATCTCCATGTCTGAAAAAAACAAGCAGAGTTGTAAGGTACTATTAAAAACTTAAGTGACTGCTTTTAACAGAAAGAAAATCAGGTTATACAATGCATCATAGGTAACTCCAGCTGTATTCTTCTGCAGTTTACTCTCTACCCCTGCTTTACACATTCTTTGAAAAGTAAACATGAATTTAGTTATGGCCCAGCTGCCTGGTGTGTCTATGGGATGGCTGATGAACCAAAGGGTTTCTACAAGGATGGGTTGGCAGGTAATTGACTGCCCAGGATTAATCTGCAGAGATTTCATCTCAAAGGGTGAAGGTGAAAATACCGAAAGCAACCCTACGAAGCAGATGTCAGTGCAGAATGGACGAAGAACTGCAGATGGCTGGGCAGCACATTGCAGTCGAATAAAAACCTTGTAAAACTTTCAAACTGACTCACACTTTTGTAGCTATTGGGGGGGTGACCGAGTGTGTGCCGTTGCTGTGGCAACCTCACCCTCACCACGGGTGACGTATGGGCAAGGTGCTGGGATGACGCACTGTAGGGCAGAAGGGAGGAAAGGAAAGAGAGGTTCCTTCGCTTCAGCACCGAAACCTGCCACTTGAAATGGTTTCCAAAAAATACAGCCTTGAAAATACAAGTAGGCTTGAAGGGCTGTTGAGCTTAAGAGCAGCATCTGTAACGCTGAGGATATGGAGCCACATCTCTCCAGGGGACCACACTGACAAAGAAAACTTAGACTTTTCAGTCACGATATCTAGTACATGGCAGCAATCGAGCTGAAAAGAAATTTTCTGAAAACAAAAATATCTTTGTTTTTAATTCTCTTGCAGTGAATTTATCGTGATGAGTTACAAGTGGCAACTTTCAGCAGAAATTACCATTGCTTTGGTGCTATTTCAATGATATTTAAGCATAATGATGTATTTAATGACAGATTTCAAGTCCATGAAAGTCTAAACAGAAAAAGGCTTTCTGATAAATGGAGAAATACCATTTGTGTTTGAGTTCCTATTACATCATTCTTATAATCTATATACTGTCCACAAGACAGTTATGTTTTTGTAGGTTTTGCAAGAAACTAATAAAAAAGCAGTACGTATAACCAAAGACCCTGTAAGGACAAAATGAAACTCCCCAGTATTCAAAATTATCATAATGCTTAAATACCTGTGTAACTTTTCATTACCATCTCTTGTATTCCTATGACTGGAAATAGAAAAATGGATTTTTACAGACCCTGTGGAAGAAGACTCCACTTTTAACAGCTTTGAAGGAGTGGTTGGAATAAGGTGATGTTTCAGGTGAAACCATAGTCCCAGCCTGGTTGGAAAGTATGAAAGCCTGATTGTCACATTAAATCAAAAGAAACATGGCACCATCGGAGGAACTCAGAGGCTTTAATTGGCCAATGAAGCCAAAACCAATCGGTTATTGTAGATATTATGAATCAGCCTGGGGCATTAACAGGAGAGTTAATGACCACCTGGATTTTGTACTTCTTCATGCTTTCATTGGCTCATGAAAACATCAGAAAATGCCCATGATTATAATTTCTGATCAGGATTGCTTAATGACTTAGACAGCTACACAAAGGCTTCAGCAGAAGATAAGCCACATCCATCTTTTCCTTTTCTCTCTTGTTCTGCACTTATGCAGCCATAGTATGAATATGTATGCTACCTCACCTCCAGAAGAATTATACTCTTTTTCTTCAAATTCTGTGAAATGGTATTTGTTGTGTTGCACCTGGCTTACAGTTCCTCCATAAAATCTGTTAATTTCTTCCCTTTTATAATGAATATTATTACTTTTTGAGTATAGCTGCTCCATTTTCTCTTCTGTTTTGACACTTAAAAGGCACAACTGTCTAGAGCAAGGAATACTGTGTTAGTCAGCTGATTGACTTCTGCAAAGGTGGAAGAACCTAAAGCCTCAAGTAAATTATTTGCCAGTCTTCCTCACACCTACCCACTTTATCTGTTACTCAGGTTTAGCCAAAAAAGCAAACAAAGGCTTGAGCTAATTCTTAGAAATGAGTGAGTTTTCTGAGCAATCAAATTCTGCACAGAAACTGTATTTAAAATCAATATGCAAACCTATTTTTTACTTTTCTAGTCTATTATTTCCCACAATTGGAAGTTATGAAGGAAAGGAAAGGACGGGAAAGGGAAGGGAAGGGAAGGGAAGGGAAGGGAAGGGAAGGGAAGGGAAGGGAAGGGAAGGGAAGGGAAGGGACCTGAAGAGGAAAAGGTTTACCTCTAGCAGCAGCACCAGACAAAGAACAAATATATTAAATTGTTTCTACCTGTAAATAAGCTAGATAGAGTAGAGCTAGTTCTTTTTAGAATTACAAGCATCTGTCAGTGGCAAACACTCTTACTGTTCAACATATGACATGAATGCACACAGTATTTGTCAGTGCTTCAAATTCCCAGGCAGTTGCTACAACATAGTTATTAACTGTCACAGTGCAGATTGACAAAACCATGAAAACAGGATGATCCTTCTTAAAATCTCTTCTGGGCTTCCTTATGGGACATGGTACTTTCTTGCTCTTCTTATTCAGTGCCCCCGTTTGGCATCCCTTGAATGCTAAGGCACTTACAAGAGGCGACAAGTAGATGTTTCTGTGCCTTCTGCCCTGGAATTTGGTTTGGTTTTTTTTTCTTTTCTGTAAAATAGCATGACCCTACACTCTAATGTTCAAACTTCATTCTACTTGAGCTCTCGCTGGACTGCACTCATTGGAGAACCCTGATAAAATAGCATAGCTTGTTATTTTTTAGAGGAAACATTATGAAATACTAATTTAATGTACTGAAATCAACCAAGGATTTAATTTTTCACTTTTCAAATGCCCTTTATTGTCAAGAGCAACATTTCCAGAAATTATCATTATTTCAGTGAAAGTGTGATACTGAAAGTACAGATATCCACAGCTTTCACAAAGCAGTTTAGCACGCAGCAGACCCACTTGAACAGAAAAGCAATTGCATAACGTGGTGAGTAATCTTTAATCCACATTGGGCCAGGAAACCTGCAGAGTGCTCAAAAAGGGTGCAGACATGTCTAAAGTGATGTGTTACTTTTTTGAACAGAAGAGCAAGAATGTATGATTCAGTCAAAATGCCACTGATCCACAGTGTATTGCAGTGTAGGAAACACTACAATGTAAGAATGTCCTGTTTTATTTTCAGATGATAAAGAAGCTGATAGATGATTCTGTCTGGAACCTGGACAGGGTAGTGCCACACATCCATATACTGAAGAAGCAAGAAGGAGTGTAAATCCTGTACAATGTATCACAAATTTCTAAATGTAGTCAGAGCTGTTAACCTTTAAGGTTAGAAGAAATTATTCACAGAATATTAAAATTCTAACTCGAATGCTTGGGATACTTGTTTACATCTTCATTTCTCAGAGGAAAGGCAGATTTGAAAGCAGATTAATTTTCACATGGCCCCAAAATTTAAAATGATCAAATTCCACCATCACCAATAAAGACTGCTAAAGCACACAACAGTCTACCTGAGATGAATCACTGTTACATAAAACATAGGCTAAATTTCCATTAGCAGACCACAGATTATATAATGCATTGCAAGTTATTTACCACATTAAAATAGTGAAGCCTGGTTACTTGCAAATTTTCTGGGTTTTTCTTCCTAACCTTTCCTGTAGGACATGTGTGAACTCACCCCATAGAACTTATGATGGTCCCCCCCCGAGAAGAGATCAAAGTGCTATGCTAAGTCACAAGTTAGATGAACGTGTTCAGCTGTCTGTTGCCAAATAAAAAGTACAAAAATTCTTCTTCCTTTTCTCAAGATTGGCATTAATTTGTCTCTTCTATCCCAATTACATTAACTAATTAACTTTGCCCCCACTAAAAAGGAACTTAGAGATTCATGCATGGACCAACAGAGAAGCCCACAGGAAGATTAACACAAAGATAGACAGGGTGACTGCATAACCCTTATTTCTTAATTAAGTTGGCATAATTTAATATAATCCATCTAACAAGTGGAGTTCTAGAGAGAGATTCTGCAGACCTGCCAGGATACAGTTAAAAAAGAGAGGGCATTTTTTTTCATGTGGTCAGAAAAAGTCAAGATATCCATCAAGGAGAGGTGAGTTCCAGACCTTAGAGATCACTAAAAATGTTGAGTCTGCACTTGTCAGTGCAGGGCTTTGCAGAAAAGGTACTGAATAAAATTTGTCTTCGTAAATGCCATAGTAAACTCACATTGAGACTTTCTAGACACATATGAAGAGTACCAAGTGAGTGATCTTGAGGACACATATTGCAGATGGGAAACATAAACAGGATAAATAAGAGCTCTGTCTAAATAGAGGGGAAAATTGCACAAAACATATTTACACCAATTTGACATATATTTCCTCATGGACAAGATGCAGACAAAATAGGATTCCTAGTTAAATTTGATACAATTTTTTATAGCATAAATTATAAGACTAGTGGAAAGGATCTTGATGCTTGTACCAGTTTAAAACATGATCATACTGGTTTGCACACTCCTCCATTTGAATGAAAATCTTACTTATCTCCCCAGTGTAAGTACTGGCCAAGGATGCTGGCCAGGCTTTAAATCAAACTGGCATAGTCTGTGTTGGATTCTCTGGCTAAAACTTGGGACATAGCCTATCTGAAAGAAAGTCTTGCACCTCGGTAAACACAATCCAAGAGTGCAGCACAGGCTGGGATCTACTCGGCTGGGGAACAGCTCTGTAGAAACGTACCTGGGGGTCCTGGTGGGCAACAAGCTCAATATGAGTGAACAGTGTGCTGCTGTGTCAAGGAAAGCCAACAGGATGTCTGGTTACATCAACAAAGGGATCACCAGCAGAGATAAAGATGTCATTGTCCCACTCTACTCTGTACTTGTCAGGCCACACCTGCAATACTGTGTTCAGTTTTGGTCCGTGCTATACAAAATAGATGTGGACAGGCTGGAGAGGGTGCAGAGAAGGGCCACAGAGATGATCTAAGGACT